ACACACACACACACTCATCACAATCATACTTACTGTAATTATTCATCACAAATGGCACACAAAAGCATGTTGTCCAAACCAATGGAATATATCTTATATAGCTATTTTTTAATCACATGCACATATTTTCAAAAATGATGCTAGAAAAAGGCCTAAATTTAAGATTTATTCATTTGAGTTGCATATACATTTTCCATACAATTTTAACATGAAATAATAAAATTAATGTGATGCATATTTGTCAGTCAGATTTCTGCACTCAAAAAAATCATGGCATAGTTTATTATTAACTACTTGCATCTACTGATTCTACAAGTGGCACATTGAATTAAACAGGAAAGACCGAAATAGTATTTTCTTGTAAAAAACGAGATACTCCAATAATCTTTGTTTTATTTACAACCTCAAAAATCAGCGATGGCTAGCTGTGTAACAAGCAATATTCAAATAGTTCAGTTATATGAGATTGAAAAAAAATTGGATTTATTGATCATAAATGTATAAACATGTATGTGTGACTGACAAATATGCATCACATTAGGGTTATCCGTTTGTTTATGTTAAAACTGTGTTCAGTCCAAATGGATGGAAATTTTATGCAAAATGCATTCAATTTAGGCCTAAATATTTTCATTTTTGTCTTACAGCCCCGGGGACTTTCAACTACAAGACGTTCTTTGAACAAGTGGGGCTGACGGGTAAAGCTACTTCAGATGGGGAGAAGGTGTTCAAGGCCCTGGACCAGGACAAGAGTGGATTTATTGAAAAAGAGGAGCTGAAGTAAAGCATTCTTTTTTTACCTCAATTTTTACCTTGTATTCTTAGTATATGTAAGTGAATTGCTGCGTGCTTGTTCCAGACGCTTCCTCCAGAACTTCTGCTCTAAGGCCAGAGAGCTCACAGAGGCCGAGACCAACAGTCTCTTGGCAGCTGGGGACAATGACGGTGACGGCAAAATTGGGATGGAAGGTAAAGCAAAATCAGCACTTAGGCCATCCAGAATAGGCCCCTGGGAGCCGTACTCCTATAGAAACCAGGGCTCCTCCTTCAGTGTCTGGCTCCTGTTTCAGCCTGAGGGACTAATCAGCTGTACAAATGAGAATCAGACCAATTCTACTTCATTTAAAACGTACAGACGTACTGCTTATCTTGAAAGACTGGGAATTCACTTTCTCCCCGGTCAAATTAACATGTCTTTCCAGCAGGGTGTTTGACTCTATCAGTGAAGAAAATAACGTAGATCTGCGTGTGTGAAG